AAGCCCAGGAGAGGGGCATGTCATGTGACTCTGAACACTTACCTCCAGAGCTGCCATCCTTACAACTTGGTTGCTGTGATAAAAGAAGTTTGGTAGAACATCAAAAATAGATGTTTCCGATAGGATCAATTTCTGGAAGGTACAAAGACAGGTTTAAATTTTTACATCCAAAAAAATCACTTTAATGGACATTATTTGGAATTTGAAGCATTTGGTCAAACCTAAGAATTCTGTCTATGAATGCCATATATGAATAGAACTTCTCTGGTTCTGTTTCCTCCATGACTGTGGGGAAAATGCCTTCAGTGGGTTTTATGTGGGTTAATATATGTAAAATTCTTAGACGAGTGCATTGAAATATATCAATTATTTCCAATGTAAGTGCTCATGAAGATTATCCTTTCTGACCTTTACCTGTTCTTCACTTCCTAAATATTTCCCAATACTCCACTATGATAAATCCTAGTGGAAACCCTAGATTTCAACTATGAAACAAGTAATTAAAAAGTACCTATTCCCATTTTGGGTTCCCCAGGAGGAAATCCTAAAGAAAGTCTACAGTTACCTTTGGCCAATTATAACAATAGTATTCTGGTGTCTAAGTAGAAAAATACAAAGTCATCCCTGAGAAAATGATGTTTAAAAAACAGTTGAAAGTCCCTCATTAGTAGCAAAATTACTCAATAATCACTTATAAAATTGGATCTTTTAAAGTATAATAGTAAGCATTAAAGTAAAATTAAATGATATTTAAGTAGCTTTGTCTCCAGAAGAATAGCAACTAAGTATGCATCTGATTCAAATATCAGAAATCAAACACTGCTGGACTAGAATGCCTTCTTGGTTAAAGTACCAAAGACAGAGACTTCAATAAGACACTTCTGTCAAAGTGGGCCTATTTGATTTTCTAAGCTGAGCTACAACCTTACAACATTTTGCTAAAAAAAAAATCAAGGTATAAAATTTCATTAAATGGAAGTCAAAATTAATTGATTAATTCCTTAATCTAACTGTGCTTACAGGGATAAATGGGCCAGGAGTACAAACTGGTAGAAAAGGGTTGTTATAAATACCTGCAGGTTCTCAATGCAAAACTGATGTCCATACATGTCAATAGCTGATAGGAAGATAGACTCTACTTGGTTATGGCGAAGCTCATACGATGGCAAATGGGAAGCAATAAGAACCTAGAGTAAAAGCAAAATAAGAGGCATAAGTTCCTAAGGGAGTGATTATTCTAGGCTTCCATTAAGCAGCTCTGATACAAAAGCAATAAATATAAATCTGTAAGTGTGGGCATCAGAGATAAAACAGAGACCAAGTAAAACAACTTCTGGGCCCTATAGCATAAAGTCAATGCCATCAAGTACTGAATCTCAGTCGATTCTCAACACGATTTGCGTTGTGAGCAATTTCCCATAGGGGCAGGAGGGGAAGGGAGAAAAAACAGCTTCAATCAAGTTCCATCAGTGCATGTGATTTACCATTGCAAAGCTGCTAGTCCTGGGGACTGCATGACTAGCTGTTAATTGGGAATCAGGTCTGGCAGGGAGCAGCTGTGGAGAAGGTGGATGCAGCATAGCTAGCCTTTTATAATTTTGCAGTAGAAAAGAAGACTAGGAAAAGCTGCTTTGATAGCCCCAGGTACTCAGCACCAAGGAGAAGGCATCAGGAACTAAAACTGCTGCATGTGAGGGGCAAAGAGTGAAAACAGTGTCACAAACAAACAGGGACGCAGTAGGACCTGAATATCCTCAGCAGGTCACTGAGAGGTTCAATAACTTTGAGTAGTTCAGTGACATGGATACAATTGTCGAGAAAGCAGAAGGTCACTGAGCAGCTTCAAATGCTGCTTCCTTGTCAATGCCCAAGGACTGAAAACACAAAGGGAGCAGCAACTCTCAGCTCCCCTGCGGAAAGCTTTTGGAATGGAAATGAAGACTATAGGGCGAATAACTGGACTTCTCTGGGGTTGTTCCAATGCTAGCCTGAGTCATGTCATTATCATTCTGCTTTCCACACTTGATTATTTTCTATACACTTACAAGTTTCCATCTCTTTCTAAGCTCCCTTCAGCAAGTAAAAAATACTGAGTTCATCTCTTTCCCTCAGTTTCCCCTTCCTCCACCTGACCTTGGTTTACTATCACAGGACTGGTAGGGAGGTTGGGGAACAATACTAGTATTTTATAAGTTCATACTCAATATTAACTCTTTCCTTTGTCTTAAATATATATCACATGGAAACATTTGTTTTGAGGCAATATAACATACACAGAAAATGGCATGATCTTTTGTAAGGTGACTGAGTAAAAGCTCATTGTGTCTAACACTGCCCAGACTATGAAAAACAAATAAACAAAAAAACTACTGTTTTAAGAAAACCAACAATGGCTCTTACCTGACGAGCCCGAAGTGCTACTTTAGCATTTGTGGTCTTACTGAGTTGAGTTAGCTCTGTGAGGATATTTAATAGCTCATCAGTGAGAGTCGGGTCCCGGCCACACAGCTGATCCTATTTGTTAATGTGAAAAAGAACATACAACCTTTTATTTTAAAAAAATCTGGTGGACAGAACTTTGAAATAGTGAAAGGAAATAAAAACAAAGTTAAACAAAGCTGAGTTGAAAAGAAAACCCGATTTTCTATTATTTTTCTCTGAAACAGTGTGGTAAAGATTTTCCCAGGGGAAGTTGCTGCCAAATCTCTCAATCATTCAAATTAAAAATTCTTAATGCATTTCTCTTTATAAATTAACACATACTTTTGTAACATGTAAAGAAGTCCTCAGACCACTAAAAGGGGTCAAGGAAATTCTAAGTAAAAAAATAACATAAGTTTCAAGAGGTTGTTAAATAGAGACTAAAGACCTTCTTGTTCCCCTTCCACTTGGGGAAACCTAACAAATTATTCATTTACAAACATACTAAAACACCATCTCATATTCTGGCAATTTCTATATCCAAAATCATTTATCCAGTTCCTGTATAAAAAAATGTTCCATGAATTTAAATATGGGTGAATCCTTAGATGGGTCAGAGGAAAAACAAGTTCTTACTGTAGAATTCATTATTCATTTTGTATTGGAACTTTTCCCCCCCTTTAAAAAAGGGGGGGCTGGAGAGATGGCTCAGTGGTTAAGAATACTGGCTGTTCTTGCAGAGGATCTGGCTTCAGTTCCCAGCCAACAACAGCCTGTAACTCCAAATTCCAGGATATCTGATGTCCTCTTCTGGACTCTGTGGGCACCAGGCACACACTGTATATACATACATGCAGGCACTCACATATCCACATAAATAAAACTATTAAAAAAAAAATTTTTTTAAGCCGGGCATGGTATCACATGCCTTTAGTCCCAGCACTTGGGAGGCAGAGGCAGGCAGATCTCTGTGAGTTTGAGGTCAGCCTGTCTATGTAGCAAGCTCCAGGCAAGCTGGGGCTACAGTGAGACACTGTCTAAAAATTCTTCTACTTGGACTTTGCTATACTTCTTTTTACTTTAGTGAATCTCTTTGCTCTTCTGGTGGGACACAAAAGATGGTACTGAGAACGTAATGTAGATCCTCAAGTATGCTGGGCAAACACTACCACTGAGCTTCATATGCTGTTGCTTTTTTTTAATCTTCTTCCTCCCCTTGACTACCAGTCCTTTCTTGAACAGTCTCTAGATCACACTTCCCTTTCTTATCTCAAAGATAGTGTGTATAGAGCTTTATCACAGCAGTATAGATAAAAGCATGGAACTTTGGGACACGCATTTCCTAAAACACCTTTTCCAAGATCTCTACTACATTCCATGTCACAAGGTAAATACTTGTAGAATATTCAACGCTATTATACTGGGAAAGAAGACATCTGAGACTTTTTTCCTTCCTGTTCAGCCTTCTGGCTAAGATCATGTGTGAGAAAAATGATTCCTAACATGAGATACTCATATCCCAGTAACCATCCAGAAGTCTACTTCAACCGTCTAGTCATAAAACCCAAGAATTAGATTTAAGGAAGTAGTATTTTTTTTTTAAAAAATTTTATTATTTTTATTTTATGTGTATGAGTGTACTGCCTACATGTAGGTAAGTGCACCCATGTTGTGCAATGCCTATGGAGGACAGAAGAGGCAGTCGGATCCCTGGAACTGGAGTTATGGGCAGTTGTTAGCTGCCATGTAGGTATTGGGATTTGAACCTAGGTCTTCTGCAAGAACAGTCAGTGTTCTTAACTGCTGAGCCATCTCTCCAGCCCCAGTATCAGTATTATTTTATACATCTAATGGTAATAAAATAAAGGTGCTATTAAAATAAAATAAACCTGGATTCTGTTGAACACTGTCATATACTAATAGATTGGTCCTACTCAATCTAGGCATAAAAGCAAAGAGCATTGCAACTCAATTTCATATTTTGCTGACAACTAATAAGTAAAATAGAAATTCAGAGGAATATGTAAATCAGCAAAGACAAGGCCATAAAAAGAAAGAAGAACAGTTAAGTAGGTAAGGAAACCAAGATGTTTTCCTGCCCTAATCTTTCCTTTCCTAATGCCCCTAAATAAAAACATTCCTATCTGAAGTACTGACTTCAGTCGTCAGAATGGCCCACCAAGGGATGATCTTCTTTTCTTTTTTTGAGACAGGGTCTCACTATGTAGCCCTGGCTGGCCTGGAACTCACATATATCCATCTACCTCTGCCTCGGCTTCCTCATTACTGTGATTAAACAAACGTGCTCACTACCATGCCTGGGCCACCAAGAGATCTTGAAACATAGAAGTTTTCTGGGTAAAAGGACAACTTAGGTCAAACTCTGCAAATAGCTAGACCAAGGTCCAACAACAACCATAAAAGCCAACATGACAAAGTAACACCAGTCGCCATTCCAACTTGTATCATTATTTGATTTGGAATGCTTTCCCTTTGAAAGAAATTAAGGTTTAACTGAAGCAGAATAAAAAATAAGTTCCTCTTGCTTAACTATAGGTCATGTTCTAACTTCAATCTAAAAAAAAAAAATTAATATGACCAGGTTCCTTTCCTCATGGGGGCCAGGTGTGCAATGGCTGCGAACAGCAACCTCCTTGGTAGTGTATGTAGCCTGTTGCATGGGCTGCTCTAAGAGACCTTTGAGACAGTTTTAAAAAACAAACAAAAAAAAAACCCAAGGCAGATGTAGGGTTCGGGTTGGAGGGATATATCAGTGGTTAAGAGCACTTGCAGAGGAGCGGGGTTCAGCTGTTATGGCTAACAACTGCCCATAACTACAGTTCCATCTGATGCCTTCTTCTGTAAGTGCACATGGTGCACTTACATATATGCAGGCAAAACATACACATAAAATAAAAATAAATAAAAGCTTTAAAAACACACACAAAACCACCTTCTCATTTCATCTTTATGAGATAAAGGGAGTGAGGAAGAAGGTAGAGGAGAAAACCAGTATCTATGAGAAAATGGAATTATGGAGATTTAGGAAAAAAGGAAAAGTGAAATAATCATTCATTAACAAGTACAAGCTGACTGTCTTTATCAGCCCCTTGTGATACAGTATAAAAAACAGACTTTTCTGGGATGTGAAAACTCAAACACAGTCTGCATAGAACACTATTGCCATTAGTTCTTGACTTAGTTTTTCATATACATATTATGTTCTCAACTGTCAGTATTAATACTTAGAAAAAGATTGGCAACAGAAAATTATGTGTAAAGTAACTTCTTCAACACTCTCTTGGCCTTGACCTAGACATAGTGTAGAGGTCCTGAAAGACACCACCCTGTCCTTAAGAACCACCAAATGCTAACTTCCTGTAGGAAGCTCATAACCCTTTAGCCTGGACACACCGTCTAAGCTTTCTTTGGCCCACTGGACAGTCAAAGATCACTACTTGATCCTGTTTCATTCTGTAACAATGCCATAAGAAGGCAACTAAGGGTTGGAGAGATGGCTCAGTGGTGAAAAGCACTGACTTCTCTTACAGAGGACCCAGGTTCAAATCCCAGCACCCATATGGTGGCTAACAATCATCCACAACTCCAGTTCCAAGTAATCTGATGCCCTCTTCTGACCTCCACAGGCACTGCAAAATAAGCGTGTATTTACATACATGCAGGCAATACCCTCATACACATAAAATAAAAATAATAAATAAAATATTTTTTAAAAAGAAGGCAATTATGTCAGCAGATTTTTTTCTGAACAACAACAAAATAAAAACCAACAAAAAGTTCATTTAAATAACCAACCTGCTGATTTGGAGACTATGGGTCATTTATAAGATTCTGGAGACCAAAGTGAAAATTATTACTCATTAATAGTCAACAATGGTACAATAGAGCCATTTCTTGCTTTTATTCTCATCCTAGATTGTCGTTAGGGGATATTTTGGATTTTCAAAAATATAACAAACATGATGAAGTAGCACATTCTTTTTTTTGGTCTTTTTGAGACAGGGTCTCCTTGTAGTCCCAGCTGTCCTGGAACTCAGTATGTAGACCAAGCTGACCTTGAACTCACAGAGATCTGCCTGCTTCTGCTTCTTGAGTGCTGGGATTAAAGGCTGCAGCCCCAGCTGGCCTAGAACACAGAGATCCTCTGCCTTTGTCTACCGGGTGCTAGGATTAAAGGTGTACACCATCATACCCAGCTAGCACATTTCTTTAAAAAACATTTTATTATTTTTATTTTATGTGTATGAGTGTAGTGCTTGCATTTGTGTCGGTGTACCCATGTTGTGCAATATCTGAGGAGGTCAGAAGAAGGCACTGGATTCCCTTGGAACTGCAGTTACAGACAGTTGTTGGCTACCATGAGGGTGCTGGGAACTGAGTCCTCTGCAAGAGCAGCCAGTGCTCTTAACTGCTGAACCATCTCTCCAGCCCCAAGTAAATCCTTGCAGTTATGCAGTTAGTTGACAGAAAAACCGGATTTAGTCCAATATGATAGTAGAATGCTAAGCACTAAGTGCCCCAAGGAAGACAATTTCAAAATGGAAAGATTGGGACCTTAGGTGTAATACCCTCAAGTTATCACTTAACATTCAGCTGAGTAAGGCTTCTTCCTAGACTTTTCTGAGATTCCAAAGATACTATGAAACAAGAAGTTTATCAATGAATTGCTAATTGCACCCTTATTGTGATGGTTAGCTTTAAGTGTCAATTGATACAACCTAGAATCAGCTGATAAGATAGTCTCAAAGAGGGACTGACTGCAGTGGGTTGGCTTATGGACATATGGGGGGGTGGGGGTAGAAATTGTCTGAATTATGTTAATTGATGTGGGAAGACCCAGCCCACTGTGGGTAGCACCATTCCCTGATAGGGATTCTGGAACTTTAAGAGAGCTGAGAAATCAAGCAGAGACCAAGCAAGCAAATGAACATGTATATATTTCTCTCTCTGTCTCTCTCTCTGCTCTTAACTATGGCTGTGATGTGGCTAGCTGCTTGAAGTTCTTGTTTTCCCTACAACAACAGACTATAATCTGGAATTGTAAGCTGAAACAAACCCCTTGATTCTCCCCAGAGTCCCTTTCATCAGAATATTTTATCACAGCAACAGAAATGAAATTAGAACATATAGTAAACGAGATTTCTGAGAAGTATTTTTCTTGTTACTTACACATTGGACAAATTATATGCAATTATGGCAGGAGGAAAAATGAAAGGCACTGATTAGCATTTTAAATGATTGCTGTCTAAATCAAAGGAGAGGTTTGTACATACAGCATGACTTATGAAAGCATGTTCATGTGGACTATACCAGAACTAAGACAGAAACAGTGAAGTCTACTCAATAGAAATTTGCTTAGGAGTTGTTGGGGCATGCTACCAAGATGCAACTTATGTTAACAACTGGAGAGCACCACAGCACCTCTTCACTGGAGCAACTTGATTTTCTTGATTCTCTCCTCTAGGTTCAAAGGCCAGAAGTCATCATCTAGTTCAGCAAAGCACACCATCAACATTACTACTTCTAGAAAGCAGAGATTGGAATGCTGGGCACATAATCATCAATCAAGAAACCAAGGTAAGCAAAGAAAGGTGACCAGCAGAGAACACAAAACCAGGAGAATTGAAATGTTACTATGTTCCAATGACATCTGTAAAAGACAGTAAGACCTGCAGAAAAAGGCATCCTAACAACTAAAATGCCTCTTACAGGCTACTACCATTAATGCAGATGTGGGGGAGGGCAGCAGCTGGCCACTGTCAAAAAGGAAAGCCTGTCTGGCATTCAGTAATAATGGGTCAGAAAAGGGCACTATCTGAGCTCTGCCATGATCCATAGGTCATTACTAGCTGGCCCTGAACTCAATCATACCAATTAACTTCTTGATTTCAGAATCTCCAAGATGAAGTAAAAATAATTGATATTCAAAAAGAAGTCAGTGATATGCAAGACTACAGACTCTTTTGTGCTTAGTGAGTCTTGTTTTTTAGAGGGAAATAAAGTGGAGATGCCAAAATACAGCAGATTAATCCAGTTTCTGGTTCATGTCCTCAGCCTTGTGCTGCCTCCTCCTCCAAGCGATTCCTCCAAACCCAGACATTCTGAAAGACCTTTCTCTAGAAAGAGAGCTCAGCCTATTGGGAGGAAAGTTGGGGTAACATGCAGGTAAGAAATAATCAGGATGACAAGGTGGGGGTAAAAACAGCAGCAAGTCAGGGTCCCATTGGCTTCTGCCTGTCCTGACTGGCAAGAGCAGCAAGCTAAACCTCAAACCAGTTCTCTGACAGGGCCTGACGCCTCTGCAGCACCCCCGTGTAATTACACACTTGAGTGACTGGACTCTGAAGAAAATTGAAGGCCTGAGCTCTGAACAGCTGCCATTTTCTCTCTCCATCACAGCAGCGTGATTACTTGAGAAATGAACGCCCCAGCTCAAAGCTACTCCAGAATTCTCAGAGGAAATATGGCTCCGTGTTCCAATAATGAGATTCTTAAGGCAAGCGTTACTTACAATCACTCCGCAAAAGGAGTGAGCCGAGCCCCTATATCTTACAAATTAGAATTTAAGAAACCCAGCGACAGTCCTGGATGGTCATTACTCTTCTGCTGCTCCAAGGATTCTGGGCTTTGGTCTATTTTTAGTGCAGAAAACTGTTAAGTTCTTAAAAAGGTAATCATAATAAGATGAAAAATTCACCATAATTAGCTTCCTATAAAGGCAAATTCCTGCCCCATTTTGGTTCAAACTGACAGATCCTTCTACCTTTTCCTCATTACCCTTTTCTGCCAGATAAGTCTTGACTACATTCAAGTGAGAATTAACAATCCTCACATTAAAATTTGAAAAGGAAAGTCAAATTTCTCCCCTCTTTTGACTGAGAAAAAAAATTAGCAAGTTGCTATAGATTATATAACCCCTTTGCGGAAAGCTGTTGCTTAGAAAAGTTAAAGTGCCACTTTGTGCCAATATTTTTCCCTTTTCAAAAGCATCTTCTGGTTTCTTCACCACCGAGTCATCTCCCTCTAATTTCATGTTTTATTTTGTTACAGTGATTGCCTAAAAAATGTTATATCCTTTAGGGTCAACCAGCCAGGCTGAGTGACGTGCCGTTGTCAACCAGAGATGTAAAGACCATTTCCCCCGATTCTGAAGGATCACATAAAAGATTGCAATGAGATTTATGTGGGGATTTTTCCCCACCACACAGAAATGGTAGATTTAAAGTACCAGGAATATTCATTCCACGAAGGGACGGGGAAGGAAATTCAGGGAAGGTACCCCAGTTCCGTAAAGGCAAACAGGCAGCAGCAGGCCATGCAGGCCCAGGGGATGGGCCTCTAAGAGCAATCCTATTGCTCTCAGACCAGGCATATTAATTCAACCAGAAAGATACAGGAGTGAAGGAGTTAAAAATCAACTTTACAACCCTCAACTCTGCAAACTCTACACAGGGGCAAGTACACCTGAGCCCTACTCACAGTTTCCAGTTTCATTCCCTGTCCTCATTTTCTACTGATTCTTATATTAGTTGGTTATGTGGACAAAATCCGATTATCCACTACAACACAATAAACAGAGTTCAGATTTTCATGAAAATGGGGGAAAAAGAGCCAGGTGTGGTGGTGCATAACTGTAGTCCCAGCACTTGGGAGGCAGAGGCAGGTGGATCTCTGTGAGTTCAAGATCTG